CCCCAAAACCCCAAAACCCCAAAACCCCATGATACAAAATTTATACAAATAAATAGATGGTTCAAATCGGTAATTAATTAATGGATAATTAGAGTATTTAAATTGAGGGCTCCAAAACCTTGCCGCAGAGAGTAAATCTGACAAAATCTTAGCTTAATCTTAAGAAAATAGACATGAATCAGACTTCCAAGCTAAACTAGGACATATCTCCTTTCAGAAGCCGAAATAACCTGTTGAATCCTCACGTTTCGCTGCGAGCACTAGCCTTTCTAAGCAGTAATCGGGGTGGTCCAAATATTATTTGCTCAACTTAAAGTACTACTCCACGTAGGCAGATCAAGCAGCTAAATAACTTCGTTTGTACATAGAATTAGATAAAGACTCAACTTAAGAAATTTGAGACACACTAGAATTTAAGTAAAACCAAAGATATTCCCTTGGTTAATAAAGGCATTCAAAAGCATATGCTTAAGATGCATAATAAAACCTGCAATGACGAGATCTTTGAAGAAGATCACATAGGCAGTAGTTAAATTTAGTCCAGATCATCTTCAACTTCAATATCATCACAGCCTTTTGCTTCTAATAGAAAAGAGATAGACATTGATAAAGTGAAGATTGATACTTAGATGTTCTATAGAAACAATGAAAATAATGAAGTGATACTAATGCCAAGCAAGAGATATCGACAAATGGATTACTTTCCTCATTTTATGATTCTAGATAACTAAGTCATTCACTCAAAAATTAGAGATAAGAGTAATGACGTCGACTGTGCGAATAAGAGAAATAAGCAAAGAAAACTGTAAAAAAAGTTTGTTAGGGATTAAGTCTCATTATTGATGTACAAAGATACAAAGGACATGTCAACAATGGAGATAGAATAGTTTTACAATGAATAGTCAACAAGGAAATTCGAAACCCAGATCTAGTAATCTCCTTCTTTACAGGCTTCAAGATCTGCAAATCTCCTTATTCCTTGTAGTCTAAGTAAGTTCAAGAATAACTTAACACTCTTGGATGACTTTAGCAATTACAGTGATAGCAGTTCGAGTATTGATAGTGTCATGCCTCGTGATGTCTAATTCAAAAAGCAGTATCGTAATTAATTAAGAAAGCAGCATTAGCAGCGTAAAGCCAAAGAATAAGCAGTCTTGAGACAAATAAATATGAACTAAATAGTTAGAAGCATGACCATTAATAAAAATTAAAAGAGTGTGAATAAGCTGCTCAAGAGTTAGAATAGTAGAAGAGATAGTAGTACCTAAGATGATTTTGGGAAAGAGAGATGCAGCTCTTTCATTGTTGATTAGTTTTTCCCAAGGAAGTCTAGCTTTGTAAAAATTCAATAAGACAAGCTCAAACTAAACAAAGAAAAACTTTAGATTTAACAGGCAATTATTCCAGACCATTAAAAGACTCAAAGAGAAAAATTGAGATAAAAATTAGATGCTTAAATTGTTAAGATCACTAATGACTAGAAAGTGAAACTTAAAATATTCAAGATTGCAGCTGATGAGGCTGAAATAAAGAAGCTTAAAAAAGAAAAGTTGCAAGCCTTCTAAAATAAAATTTAAGAAATCGCTTTGAAATAGAAAGCATTCCAAGGTCAAAGGATATTGAATATAGTGATTAATTAAAAAAAGGGTGAAAATAAGAGTAGCAAATCTCAATCAGAGGCTAGCAACAAGAATGAAAGACGAACAGTGTAGATTAAAATTGATATGAATAAGTATAAAGCTCCCAATATTGAGCAATTCCTGCCCAAGATTTTGTGAACTTATCCCATAGATCTATGGAATTTAAAAGAAATTATGTTAGTTTGCGATTTGATTACAAAAGAGTTAACTTAAGTTAAATATTTTTTATTTATTAATTCAATAAATATTTCCCAACATCCATATTTAATATTTACCAATGGGGTTTTGGGGTTTTGGGGAGATCGGAAGAGCGTCGTGTAGGGA